TCCCGGGGCAGTAGTTACACCCCGGGGCAGTGGTTACATCCCGGGGCAGTAGTTACACCCCGGGGCAGTGGTTACATCCCGGGGCAGTGGTTACATCCCGGGGCAGTGGTTACATCCCGGGGCAGTGGTTACATCCCGGGGCAGTAGTTACCTGGTCCTTCAGGGCCTGCAGAGCTGCCTGGTGCTGCGTCTCTTTGCTCTCCAGCTGCTCCTTCAGCTCCACTGCCACCTGAACGAACATGGAGGCCGTTTGTTGCTAACCGCTTGTTGCTAACGGATGGGTTGATAAAGTCACTGATGATGTCACAGTCTGAGCTCTCACCTGATTGGCTGCTGTCAGGTCTGACTGCAGCTTCTGCAGCCGCAGGTTGGCCGCCTTCACTTCTTCTTCCCTCCTCTGGTTGATCTCGTCGATCTTCGTCCTGAACACAGACACAGCAGGTCGGACCGGTTCCGTTTATTCCATTTGTCCAGGTCGGACCGGGCCCGTTTCTGTAAACTGGGCCCAGTTTATCTGACTGTGACCTGTTTTCAGATAATACTGAGTTCTGATTGGACGCTTCCTTCTACAGCAGAGAATATGAAACAATGAATGCTCATTAATATTAAATAAATGATCAAAGTAATTAATGTGCAGATTTAACCCTCAGCTTTCACAATAATTCATGATGTCATCAGAGAAAGTCAACAGAAAGTGATGTCACCGATCCAGAGCTTATTCTCCCATCAGGCACCGCTCCAATTCTGACCTGCTGTCGTTGTACAGAGCCTCCTTCTCCGTCTGCAGGCGCTGGAAGCTGCAAGGCAACGCAACAGTTACAGCAACTTCAGCAATCAGGAAGAGAAGCTCAGTTCAGTTCAGTTCATTTCCGGCCTTCTGGAGCTTGGCTGCCCCCTGCTGGAGGACAAAAGTAAGGTACCCTAACCTTGTTCCCCCTATTGCCCCCTCCCGTTCCCCCTATCGCCCCCCTGGCTCCTCACCTCTCCTGCTTCTTCTTGATTTTGTCCGTCAGCTGAAACAGAAACACCAGTCATTACATATCTTGACCTCCTGACCTCCAGGTGAGTCACTGCAGCCAGGACTCACCTTGATGATGTCATCCTGCAGCCTGGAGACGTCGGCCAACCGGGAAGCCTGGGGGAGGGGGTGGGGGGGTTACTCTGCTGCAGCTCTCAGTGTGTATCAGTGTGTGTCGGTGTGTATCAGTGTGTCGGTGTGTGTGTCAATGTGTGTATCAGTGTGTGTGTCGGTGTGTCGGTGTGTGTGTGTCGGTGTGTATCAGTGTGTGTGTCGGTGTGTC